GCTGGGGAATTCTGGGAGTTGAAGTCCACCAAGGCTTAAATTTGCCAAGGTTGGAGACCCCTGCTTTAGAAGAACAATCATTCTTCAATAATTCAAACCCTGTCTACATCATAGCTCACCAGCCTGCATACCTCTTCCAGTTTTCTGCCACCCCAAATGATTCTCTTCCCAAAAGCTTGTGTTTTTTTTAAGTCACTGCCTTCTTTGCCTATCAGCTGCTGCTCTTTGGATCCTATGGAAAAATCTTCCTATGGGGAACTGAGTTCTCTCTCTTACTTTCAGGTTCTACTGTATGTAGCAATTAAAATAAAGCAAAATGTTCGTTTAGATGCTTGTGGAGATATATCAGACTCACAGGAAGCATATGGGCTTCACACTGTCCCTTTCTACAAGGCACTTATATGTCTTGGTATTTTATCTTTACCCAGATTTAGCTTAAAACAATATTTGCAGCATGGCAATACAGCATACAATCTAGTATGTAGTTTGTTCATACAAGTATCAAGGTGAATGTCTTCTTAAATTTACCAATGATGCTTAAAAGATTTGTTTATTAGAATGTAATGAAAGCACCCACTTTTTTATACAAGAGCAATCCAGGAGGTCAATCTTATTCTGAACAAGAACTGTGGGAATCTCTCCGACTTCAGATACAACTTTCTCTCTCCAGGTAGGAATTGCTTCAAAAGATTCCCTATCAACGGTTGAAAACACAAGCACACAAGCCTGGGCTCCTAAAATAATAATAATAAGAGAAATAAATTTAATGCTCAGTGATAGTGCCCCCCCCAAAAAAAGATACATAATAAATAACTGGATAAATATGTTGGATAAATGTATTGATTTATGGAACTGATAAGGCAACATGACTCAAAAGTGTCCCGTGATCAGTATGCAACAGAAAAATAACCGAAAGAACAGCATAACCTTAAAACTTAATATATAAGTTGGAAATACAAAATATCAATCAAACACAATGACAACACTAACCAAGAGGGGGCTCTCTTGAACTGGATCTGAGTGCCTGGGGGATGCCTTGGAAAAAAAAGGCCAGGTCTTTCTAAAGCCCAGCAGGCTTGGGGGCGGGCCTATCTTGGGGGGGGGGAATATTTCAAGAGCACAAGGAAAACCTCTGAAAAGGCATGCTTCCTAAGTCCCTTGAGATGGCAAAGATTAAAGAGAGAACCTGGAGCATGCCCACCCTATGGGAATGTGTGGGACAGGCAGTTTATTATATAACTTAAGACACATTTATATAAGGTTGACTCTACCCTCTTCTTTTGCAGACCCCAAATCCTCTATGGCTACAGCTGCAGTGTAGTTCCTAACATTCTTGAGGCAGTAAATTCAAATGTAAAATAGCCATAACAAAATAATTCATAGTTAAACAAAAAAGGGAGAAATGCAACAGGAAAACTGGTTTCCCCCTAAAATGGGGGGAGGTATGGAAAACATGTCCTATTTCTATTTTCTATTACTATCCCAATCATTATGGCCAGTTCAAATTCAATTGCTTTGAATGGGACCTCCAGCCACTAAAAGTTTGCTCTTACTTGGCCTAAGCAATAAAAAGAGCATTTTAAAAATTAGTTTTACAAATAGATGAATTAATAAATAGAGAAAGGCCACTCGCCTTATAAAACTCCCTGTTCCGAGGGAGATGAAGAGTCTAGAAACATGAAATATATATATAAAAAAAAGGAATCCTGGTTCTCAGGTTCAATCCTTAATTTCTTTATACAACCACTTCCATGTAAGGAACCCCTTCTAGGAGACAAATAGTTGAAGATGAAAAATAAACCTTAGTGCTTAGTATTATATGAGTTGGCCATCCATTACATTTGATCCAGGTGCCCAAGGGTATGAAACCTGATACTCTGAAGCATTCTTACTGTATTCTGAGCAGCTTCTCTTATACTGTGATCAGTAAGAAACCTGTGTACTTAATACAGTTTTAAAAACGTAAGAATTTATTTAAATCTGAGAAGAAAGACATTATAACAGTAATGGAAACATTTAATGTCTATAAAAAAGTAGCTAGGTTATGTATTTAACAGGGATAGGGCATGTGTGGTATTCCATTGCTGATTCCCAGTAACCCCAGGATACATGACCCACTGGTAAAAAATGCTCCAGAAAAGTATGAAATTACATTTTTGAGTCTTTGGATTAATTAGCAGTTCATAATCATCCTAATGTCAGAGAAAAAGGTTCAAACTGCTTCATCAAAATAATGGTTTGAAAAATTGAGATTAATCTGTATTAGGTAATAATTAGATAATAATTTACCAATGCAACCCTACATATAAATCACTCAGAAGTAAATTCGTTACATCTCTCAGATAAGTAGAGGTAAGATTGTGTCCTAAGTCCTATTTTCAAGAGGTAACAAAAGAACCTAAATTTCAATATCCCTAAAATGAAATCACTACTGTTTATGAACATAATCACTGCTCAGGGTCCCTTTGTGAGGGAGATGGGCAGTTTTTAAATTTGATAGATGAATAAATGTTATATTTAGGCTTTGGCAAGATTCAGAACCAATATCAAATATGAATTTGGTAGCAGTCACATGTGGGACTGACACTATTTTTTTTTTTTAAAACAAGTTTTATTAATTTTTAAAACACACAAATTATCATTATTCACTACATGTTTACACCTTTTTCCATTGTAAATTTAACAAGTCAGATAAATTATGATTCTGTTTTAAACCATTTCCATATAACATACCAAAACCTCTTATTCAATTTCTCTTTACTTCTCTTTACTCTTATTCAATATCATTATTATTATTTCATCTGTTTCTTTCTGACTTAGTTACCATTATTCTCATTCTATATTTCTACAAGTTTTTACTAATTCTCCCCCCAAAAAACACATATACACACAACACACAAAACATAAAAAAAATCTTTTTAGAAAGTAACTTGGACCCAGGTGTCTCTCTCTTCATGGACTTCAATTATATTCATGCTCATCTTACATATCATTACTTATTTTATTTACCATTCTAAGCCTTCTATATTAACTTCTCCACATATTTCACACTTCTTAATTCTACCTTAATTAATCATCTTAGTTTGAATCATTATATTTGTATCTTTTGTCCATTTTTTATTATCCCTTTGTCTCATTCCTTATGAAAAAAAAGAAAATCAGTTTCTCCTGAAATCATTAATCAGAGTATGATGCCTTTCTATCTCCCCCCTAGGTTAATCAAATTAATCTTTAAAATAATATCTAACACCCAATCAGATTTTGCTTGGTACATTCTATCTAACTAATACATCCAACACAATTAAGTGCATAATTAGACAATAAATCCAAATATTAAAAAAAATACTATAATAAAAATTTTATAATAACATCAATACCATAATTTTATTAAACTCTTTAATTAAAACAATATTCTAAGCCTCTCTTATTATTAAGTTTTAAAGCCAAACATTTTTAAACATTTTAACATTTTAATCTCTTATCAACTCTTAAACCATTGCAATACTACCATCTCATCTTATGTACCTTGCAAAATCTTTTTTTTTTTAAAAAAATTATACTTTATCCATTATCCATAAAAAATTCCTTTTTTCCATTTAGTTTCAAAACATTGTAGCTTTTCTCCACCTTTTCCCTTTCTTTCTTCTCCCAACAAACCTTTCTACCCCCCCTTCTTCTAGCCTCTGCCTTACCGGCTTCCCTTCTCTGTCGTATTCCTTTTCCCCTTTGTTTACTATCATCATATTGGTTTTGCACTTTATTTTTCCCTTTCTTAAATGTTTTTGTAGATCTTAAGTCCTTAAATCCTTTAGTTTTCTTCTTTTCTCTTCTTTTCTTTTCTTTCTCTCTTCCTTCTTTCTGGATCAAATTCTGAGATTCATTAAAGATGGCTCCTTCCTTTCTTTCTTGTTCCTCTGCTGTCTTCATCTGTTGTAATGTTTGTTGATAATTAATAAGCGCCATTTCTAAGAAAAGGAAAGCTTCTTCCACACCATCTTTACCATTTTTTTTTGCTTGTTCATATTCTTTTCTTAGTTCCTCAACAGAAAGAGCCATTATAAATCTTTTCTTTTCTTTTCTCCTTCTTTCTTCTTACAACAACCAGAATATTCAAAAGAAAATAAAAAAGATAAAACAGTCCCAAAGTTATCAATCAGTCCAAACCAAGGCAGAGTTCTCACTTTCTCCTTCTGGGGTAATATCAATCAAAGAGAAAGAAAGTCCAAATCTGTTTAAAATCTTATTACAATATATTCTAGTCTTCAAATCCTTAAGGCATCTGCTCCAACAAAGTCTTAGCATACAAATATTTTCTTTTTAATCCTCTCTCTTCCCACTCATCGCTTAAAACCAATTTCCACCTAAAAAAATAGGTTTCTTAATATCCAGTTATTTATTCCGTAGGAAAAGAGGGAAAGCTATCCTTTCAGCACCTTCAAACAGCCGCTTTTTTCCTCTTCTGGCAGGTATTATTCAGAAAGTCATACTTTTCAGGAATTTTATTAAATATGTCTTAGAGTTCTAGGAGCCAAGAAAAACTTTCTCCTCTCAATCACTTTCTCCACTTCCTCCTGCGCATTCTTACCCGGCTGCCAGCTTCTTTGTGGCGGCCATTACGGACCGCTGCTGCACCGTCCTGGGAAAAGGGGGTTCTGCCGGCCAGGGGGTGGGTCTGCAACACCCCCAGTCCCTTCTCCGGATCCCCCCTACCTTCAGCTGCCCCTGCAGGGCAGCCTAGCTCCGTACACGTGTGGGTCGGAGCCCCAAAAACGGCTAGCGCGGCAGGGATCGCGCAGCTTCGCAAATCCCTGCCGCTCGCGAAGCCGACAAACCGGAAGCTCGGGACTGACACTATTAAAGCAAAGTGAAAGATTTGTATGTGTGACTCAAGGAAGGTTGCACTGAAGGTGGGTAAATAAGTTAAAGCTACTGGAATCTGGTACAAGAGCTTGTCGTCAGAAATATGAAAATAACTTGAAGACTAGGAATGTAGGTGCCAGGAGTGGAAATTAGCCAGAGGCAGAATAGAAGAAAGAGGATGATGGGATGGGATGAACAGGTTTTTATCAGACAGCAGAGAGCTTATGAGGAAATCTCAATAGAACTGTAAAAAAAAATGAATCTCGGTTTAGAAAAGTATATAAGGAGTTGTGAGTGCAAGCATAGACATGCAGACTTAGCTTGATGTAAACATGGTCTAACCCAGGGCTGTCAAACTCCCGGCGAAGGGGGGGGGAGTTTTGATATGTCACGTGATGACGCTATGACCACGCGACTTTGACACCCCTGGTCGAACTGATAGAGAGGCAACATGGGAAAAATGTTTAGGACAAGAAAAGAATATGGGAAACAACCTGAAGAAATAAAAAAGAGGCAGAGATTTAAAATGAGATAAAATGTCTAGTAACGTGCCGAAGTGTGAAAAAATGTTACTTGTGAATCAGGCATGTTACTTGAGACATAAGGAAACTGACCGATCTCATTCCCAGTGAATTCAATAGTTACTGTCATGTAAAGTTATTCTTGACTGTGTGTATATGGTTATTCTTTCATGCAAGTGGCAAAACACAATCTTTGGCTCTGAACTCAGGAAAGGAAAGGTGTTTTTGGTCTATTTATTACTAGAAGAGTCTTGGGACTTGTTGGATTTAGTGGGTGGAAGAAACATCCCTTAGAGCCTCCTGCTGGTGGTGGAAGAGTCATCCAGGTCTCTGGTTGAAGAACTAGAAATGAAATTGTGCGGGCCTGTTATGATGATTATTATTTAAAAAGTATGCTACTAGAATTTAAATTTACCACAAACCAGAGTCTTTATATTAACAGGTTTTTTTTCTTACCTCTATAATAAGCTTTAGTAATTGCATCAAATTCTTCTTGACCTGCTGTATCCCATAGCATTAACCGGACATCTTCATCATTGACTCTAAAAATACATATTCGTATCAATAAGCATATTAAAAAGAACAAGGAATTTGTAATCTAAAAAAAGTACTTAGCAAAATGGCTTTCAGTAATCCCATTGTTTTTCAAACAGACTTGAATTTCCATTGATATGGACTCATGCACATCAGACTACCTCATTTTTCCAATTCTTTTAGCTACAGACGTACTGTTTCTGAAGGGTATGGCACAAAATACTACATTAATTGAGAAACAACTGGCAAAGAATTAGGAGGACTTAAATATACTAAGGTAGTAGGAGTGGGTTTGGAGGCAAATTACTTGAAGCCTAACTCCAAAATTGAAACTTATTTAACCGTATCTAACTATACCATATCCTTTTCTTTTCCTCTGCTTTGAGAGAAAATAAAAGTACTTTGTGGACTGAAATAAATTAGACATATTGTTTTTTTAAAATCCATTTATTTATATTGGACTCTTCATGTTCCATACAAATCACTGTCATTCAGTGTTATAAATGTTTATAACTCTTTGTCACATTTACAATATTGCTACTCCATCTTACCACTATTGGTAAAATAGCTTTTTCCTTCTAACAGACTATAGCAATGTTGCATTTATTATTCAGGTTAATAATTCTGGAACTTCTGCAGACAGACAGCAGAATACAGATGCCTCATGTTCACATTTATGCAAAAGACTTTTTCCGAAAAGCACTTATAAATATACTGAATCCAGTCCTAAAAACGAGCAAATAATACTGCCATCTGTTAGATACGTACTGCATTTCTCTTTCCAAGAAATCAACTCCAATTGTTTTTTTATAGTCTTTTGTAAAAATCCCTTTGCAATATCTCTGGATCATACTAGATTTCCCTACAGCTCCATTTCCAACCACAACCACCTTGATGGCCACCTCCAAATCTTCTTCCAGCATTTTGAAAGTTGTAATTTGTTTCTCAATTTAGTATAGATCTCTGAATTCTCTACCTGAAAAAAAAGAAAGAGGGTAATAATAGTTTCTTTGATTACAAAAATAAAAATACACATTTTATTTTGACTTCTAGTTCTCTCATGAGTTTATAATAAGTCTGTGGAGCTTCAATATTAAACTGAAACATTTAAACCAGGGGTCTGCAACCTGCGGCTCTTTCGGCCCTCTGCTGCGGCTCCTTGTCAGATGATCCGACCACTGACTGGCCCCTCCCCGCCCCTCCCTGTCACTCCTCGACTTGCCTGAGAAAGTAAGGGTGATGGTGGGGGACGGAGACTCGCTCCATATTCCAGAGCGGGAGGTGACTGGGTGGGAGTGAGTAACTTCGAATTGCCCGTGCCTACCCAGTCACATCGGTTGTTAAATTATAGGTTCCCGGTGTTTTCTTTTCTGTGGGAAATGGGTCTTTTCTGTGGGAAATGGCTCTTTGAGTGTTTAAAGTTGCAGACCCCTGATCTAAACCAATTAAATTATCTCTGTGGTGGATAGGGAGTAAGCCATAAGGATGTCTCACATAAAAACAGTTACCAGATCATGTTCATGCCATGGTTAGGATTATGAAAGGAGCAACCCAAAGACAGTTGTGTATACATATTTATAATAAGCTCAATTGAAGCCAATGGGTGTTACTATTGAATAAACATGGATGATATTGCATGCTAATGCTTCACTGTCTTCTCTTGTCTGGTCTATTAATCTTATGCCTGATATAACTATTACCAACTTTGTCCCTCTATATCTGTAATAAGTATAATTTTGCCATGTGTCTAAATTAAGAAAACCCAAAGAACTTACTACCAATATTCACATATATAGACCACCTTTGCATTCTACATGTTGTATCACATTACAACATATTCCTATGTGCATGGATCCACACTTTAAATTTAGTGGGACTTTCTTCCCCAGGATCTTCATATATAGAATGTATTGCACAACAGTATTCATTCAGTATGTACATTTATCTCAATTCTTTGCTACTAGCATACATTATGCAATAACTTAAGACAAACTTAGATAAATCACAGAGAAACAAAACTAATGTTAATTTAAAATTATTAGAGGATGCTCACAAATACATGTCACCATCTTACTAGAAATCATTTTTATATTACTAAGATGTTTACATCAATTATTTTGTAAACCAGTCTAGCTTTAAAGTGTTCTTTTAAAATAAAAGTTGCAGGATTAATCCTGGTAAAATAGACAGAATGCCTTATTAAATAAATGTGTGTGTGAGAGAGATAGAGAGTGTGTGTACATACACACACATACACACATTCATATATATTTTAGGGGCACAATTTACTATTTCTAAGTATGGACTGGGGATACAATGGTGGAATACGAAGCAGGCATATGCAGATACGTTACAGATATGAAAAGAGTCAAAGAGCACTGATGTTGTTCCCTAATTTGGTAACAAAATGTCTGCAAGAAAACAACCAAGCTCAGAGAACACCAATGATGCCACAGAGTCAAAGCTGTCTATATTTTCCTGAATTGGGGAAAGGGAGGTATATCAACAGTCTCTACAGAATATCTGAAATTGACTATTGCCAATGAAGATGAGCATATACTGGATATGCTGTACTGATATGCCGAAGTAACCAGGACAATTTTAACAGGCATGACAATTCACTACTGTCAGCATCAAAATGTCCTTCCCACCATTACAATTCCAATTTAAATGGTAACAACAAGAAATTAAATTGCAAGATAAGAAGTCTGCTAGAAACTTCGCTTTGGACAGTCTTACAACAAGCATTATTACATAAATGCTGTGTTCTCTACCTTATGGATAGGGAGATCTATTAATCTATGTATATGTTTTCTTCTATAGTAATAGTATTGCAGAAAAAATGAGTTAAAGAGCTGAAGCAAAATATTTTTTTAATGGACTCAGCAAGACACCACTATTTAAAGCAAAGGTTACAGTTATAAGTAGTCCTGGACTTAACTACCACAATTGAGTCCAGAATTTCTGTTGCTTAAGGCAGCTAAGTTAGTTGCATCTTTTTGCCACAGTTATTAAGTGAATCATGCAGTGGATCTGGCTCCCCCATTGCCTTTGTTTATCAGAACCAGCTAGGAGATTGCAAATGGTGATCCCAGGAGCCCAGGACACTCCAATTGTCATAAATACATGCCACTTGCCAAGTGTTCTAATTCTGATCACATGACCATGGGGAAACTGCAAGGCTCATAAGTGTAAAACCCAGTCATAAGTCACTTTTTTCACTGCTGTTATAATTTTAAACAATCACTAGATAAATGGCTGTAAGTCAAGGACTATCCGTATAATTTTGATAATCGTTTTGCATTTCATGCTTACATTTTACAAATGAGCACGGTGCCTGCTAAAGTTTAAATATTTTCCAGTCACTCCCAAGTTCTATAATAGTGTTTCCCCCCCCTTAAAATACATCTAGGACTACTTCAGATGTCTGTCCACACTAGCCTTCTCTCTATGGATTTATCCTCATTCCATTCACTATGATTTGTAGTCTTTTTTCCTTCCCTGCCCTTTGCAGCATTCTTCACCTTTAATCCCATGAATCAAGTGTGCGCTTCTGTATCATTGCAGCAGCTGGAAAATAGCTCCTTCTCATATGACCCATTTTTTTCTGTTCTGGAAAAGATTCTTTTATGCTACAGTATTTCTCCCTCCTACTCATTAAGAAAGCCATATCAAGGATTTCCCTTAGTAAATCTTGCTCTTCAACAGCATTTCCCCTTTATATTTACTAAGTAGGTGAATCCAACCAAAATGTTATTAACTCCTTCCATATAGAAAGTTTCCATTATATCAAAAATGTGTAATACTGGTATATGGATGGTTCTTGCTTATTGACCATTCATTCAGCTACAGCACTGAACTAGTTACAACTGTCCTTCAAGTTCTGAGGATGGCAGCATCCCACAATCATGTGATTGTGATTTGCAGCCTTCCCTGCTGGCCTCCAATAAGCAAAGTCAATGGGGAAACTGGCAGGAATTGAGAAGTTGCAATTACATGAGCTCCTCCCTTTACAACCTATGCACTCCACACTTAATAACGGTAACTGAGGACTGCCATTGCTAAGCAGTATGTCATATGACATCATGTTTATAATGCATGGCTATTTGAGTCCCAATTTCCATCATTAAGCAAGAGCTACCTGTATAATGCCAAAGAAATGGCTTGTACAGTAACATGTGGTAGTTACTAAAAAAACAGTTGCCTTATATCCCTTCCTCCCTACCTCCCCACAAATGAGCTGTCAAATTAGAAAGACTAAAGTTGACTTACACTAAAAATTCAATGAAAACAGATTGCAAAAATATAACATGAAACAATGCTATGGGAAAACACCTAACAAGCCATTTCAGCTATCCTAATCATTAAAGCAAAATTATGAAATACCATGACACGTCACCCATTCAAAAATCAAGTTTTAATGCCATTATAACAGTCTTACAGGACCAGCAGAGAAATTCAAGGAGGTCCCATAGATAACCAGATCCAAATCTATGTGAGGTTTTGTTGTAGATGACAATCAGCATCTTGAATCCACTAACCAGTGCAGTTAATGAAGCAGAAGTATCATATAGATGTACTGAGATGTATCTATTTCCACCAACAGCATTTGGAATCATCTGTAGGTTCCCTGTGGTCTTTGGTGCATTAATTGCATTCTTTTCTAAAACAGAAGTTAATCACAGTGACTAATGCCCTAGTCACTGTACAACTTGATTATTGCAAGATCTCTACGTGAGGCTGCCCTTGAAGACTACTTGGAAGCTTCAGCTGGTTCAGAATGCGGTGGCATTGGCAATGATATGCATGTTTCACTATGCCCACGTGATACCTTTCCTGTGCAAGCTTCACTGGTTACCAGTTTGCTTTCAGTGCTTC